TAAACTGTGGCTTCTCCAATACTGCTTCATCAGTTACCACTCTTCCATCTACTTTTCAGTTTTTATCCAACTTTCATCCACTAATGGCTTCTTTTCCATTCTCTTCATCATTGTGAGTTTATATCTCTTGTATTCCTTTGCTATCTTAGGACATAGAGATAATATGCATGTAATCTGTGTTCTCTTTAACTTGTTGAAATATGTAAAAATTTCTAATACAGCTTGAGCTCTCACTTTGCCTTTCCTTCCATTTCTTCTGGGGATAGAACACTAAAGAGCATCATACTCATTGCTGTGATAGCATCCAACTGATTTGGTAATAAAAACCCATCTTACAGTGTGGAAGATTGAAATATTAGAACAGTAGACCCTATACACTTCCTCTTAAGCAGAATTTCTACACACAGATCGAGTGTTTGATATATACTTTAGTACAATCGGTTCATCAGGCACCTACCTGTCTGTTTCCCAAAGGTAGTGGTTTTTAAGCTGGGGAGCTTGTTAAAAAAAAACATATATTCTCAGGCATCAGCCCTGCAGAAGGTTTGGGATAGGGCTAAAATTCTATATTTTTGAAAGAGCTCTCTGGGTGAAAAGCATAGCCCTGGCTAAGAACCACTGCCACTGCAAGGCCAGCAATAGCAAGGTTGGGCCAATCCCATTCCCTCTTTCTCCTCATTTCAACCCCTGTTCTTGACGACTCCAAGAATACATGGCAGGCATTAAGGTGTTTTTCAGAGAGTAGTTGCTGCATGGCTAATCTAAATTTCCAAACCATGCTTTCTCAATAAAAATTTACCAAGCAGTCAATAAAAAATTGACAGATTTAATCTGTGTTTAGTAAACTCATTCATCCAAGGTCATGATGGCAGCAGTATTTGGACCAATCATCATATGTAGGCAAAGCTAGAGGTTGCCATTCCTTTTAAATGTCTATAACGAGAAGGTAAGAAATCACATTATAGCTGTGCTAGAGCTTAGTTACCAGGAAAAAAGCCCTCCTGTAAGGATGAAACAAGTGAACTTGAATTTGAGCAATATGTTCTAAGTTTCATTGGGGGCAGAAAGTTGTTTTTAAAAGGGAGAGCTAGAGTTCTAATTAATATAACCCAACATTACTGATTTATTGTCTTTTTTTTAAGGTCTGCAAGCCCTTTTAGAACTTTGACATTTTACCCTCAGGGAAATCAGAAGTGAGCTGAACAGAGCCACTGATTTGCAAATACTAGGAGTAGATCTTAGACAGCTTCAATACTAGGGCAGAAATATGATACATTGGCTAAGAGCACAGGTTTGTAGTCAGACACATTGGTTAAGAGTTTAGGCTTTATCATTTACTAGTTGTGTGACCTTGAGCAAACTACTCAACCTCTCTAAGGTTCAGTTTTTCCCTTCTGTGGTTCTAAAGTGAACCAAGCTTTCGAGCTTTGGTATATCTGTACAGGCAGCTCTCTCTGCCTTGAATACCACTCACCTCCTTTAACTCTGACTAACTTCTACTCACCCTTCAGGTCTCAAATCAACATCGCCTCTTCCTGGAAGCCCTGATTTCCCAGTCAGAGTTAAATAATGCTCTTTTGTGTCTTCTCCCCAAGTGCGCTAAACATATCTTTAATCATAATAAATGTATGGTAATTGGTGGTTTTTAAAAATTTGTTTCCTCCATAGTTTGGGAGCCAGCAAACTAGGACCTACAGGCCAAATCTGACCCATGGCCTCTTTTTGAACAGCCCTTAAGATAAGAATTTTATTTGAAGGTTTGGGTTAAAAACTAGAAAAAGAATATGTAACAGAGATTGTATGTGTCCCACAAAGCCTGAAATGTCTACTGTCTGGCCCTTTACAGAAAAAATGTGGTGACCGCTGCTATAGGCCACAGCAATTTGAGGGCAAGAACTCACTTTTATTTCACTGTACATCCTACTCCTAGCAAATGCCTGGTACATAATAGGCACTCAGATGCTTGTTCAATGAAGGAATGAATTAGTGAGTACAACCAGTATTTTTTAAAGTACAATTTATTATAGAATCAAAACACAACTTCATTTTGTCTCCCAATGTTCCAATAAAATGTTCCCCATGAGGTAAGCTTTCCTTGACCCTGGACGGAAGTTTGGACAGATCACGTGACTTTTCTGCTGACTTCGAGAATAAACAGTACTAAGGTCACTCTAAATCATGAAACACAATCTTAATTTAGTAATCAGGGTGTATTTGGTCCAAAATACTAATCAAATTTTTCAGTCTTTTCTCAAAGATATGGTCCCTTCCCTCCCATGCCAAGGCCTATAGATGGTGGTTACCTACCTTTGGAGAAGGAGGAGTAATAGTTTTCTTTTCTCTCTTCACTTGCCAGTTCCTATTTGGACCACCACCAGGGTGGAAGCAGGAGCAGGGAAGAGAGGTCAGGGGATCAGTCATTTCTCCCTTGATGGAATGACTTCCTGCTCTCTGGTTCTTCTCTGGGTAATTCAAAGACCTCCATCACTGAGGACCTCTCCCCTGTAATTTGGGAGACGACCTTGGTAGATGCATTTCTTTTTATGCTGGTAGCTTACAACTCCTTCCTCAGCCCCTAGGAATCCAGCAGTTATCTCAAGCTTCTTGTTGCTGGGGTCCTTCCACCCCTCTAGGTGGATCTATTGGACAGGGTCCAGGATGACCTCACCCTGGCTCTCTTGTGTGCATAGCCCCATTTGGTTCCCAGTAAACAGTTAGGCATCCCTTGTCCTGACAAATGCTGGGAATGCAGGCCGACCCCAAAACAGTCAACCTGTCCTCCTGCCAAAGGCCACATTAGCTTTCCCGGAACGAAGTACTGCTCTAATCCTCTGCCTCTCCACTGCAGGAAATAAATGCCAAGCTCTCTGAGTGGTTCAGTGTATACCCTCTCACTAGGTTTGAGGTGAAGGAGTTAGTATCCCTCCAACCCCATCACTTCTGTGGAAGGTGAAGTGGAGCCTTAGCCTGCCAACAGCTCTCTGCAAAGAAATGTTTTCACAAATTTCCCGTCCCACTCCCCTCTCCAATCTGACTCCTTTTTATTTCTTGGAACCTGCTCTGGAGCATATCTTTCGTAAATTCTGTATATGACGACCTGGCTTTGGAATTTCCCATCTGTTGTAGGGCATCTATTATGTCTTCCTGGAAACCTGAATTCTAATACTATGTTACATAAGGCTTATTTTTTTTTCTAATTACATAAGAAAAGGGAAACTACCCCTGGTGAAGCCTTATCCTCTTTTGACATCTAAAAATTTGAGACAATATTAACATTTATTGAGCATCTATAATGTGTGCTTCAGAGATATTTTCTCATATAATCCCTCTTCTATAATGTTCCCTCTTTTACAGATGAGAAAACTGAGTCTCAGAGAATTTAATTGACTTCATTAATATAGTCTAGAAAATATAGATCGAAGCTGAAATCCAGGTCTATATGACTTCAAAGACCTTGGTTTTTCTGCAATACCACAATCTTTGAATTTTTCCACCAAAATACACCAAATGGCAGAAGAGAGTGAACATGTACTCCTCAGGAAGTCTGGGTGGCCTAAAGAGGCCACCCAAGTGCAAAATTTCTCTAAAGTCTCATGCTTGATTGTAAAAATGCATGCAAAATTTGCATTCTATTCAACAATACGTATTGTAATTTAAACTATGTTTAAAGTTATCACTAAAATTTCTTATGTTCTCCCTATTTAAATATTCAAATTGAATTGATCCTCTAGAAAAATGCAGTTTGTCCTGTACTTTCATGAATCTTGAGCATACTACTCCAGTATGAGAAACCCCAGCATATTCCACCTGTTTGAGAAACAGGGTACTAGACCATGCTGGTAAGGCATTAAGGATTTCAAGGAGAGCCTCAACCCATTGTAACCACTGGAAGGAGGAAAATAAAAAGAATTTAAAAATAAAGGGAAAATCGCTGCAGTAATTTCTTAAAGATTGTCATGACATTATTGTTAATACTGTTATTACTATTTATACCATAATAAAAATTGTTGATGACTGTGTGTTTTTGAATGAACAATGTACTGATGATGGTATAATATTGAAGAAGTGACATGGGGGACATTTAGCTGTTCTTAACCAGGAGGCCATGGACCATGAAAATTGCATGCCTATTTCTGAAAGAGAGGAATGTCCGTAGCTTTCATTAGGTTCTCAAAGGAATCAGACTCACAAAGGTTAAGACCCACTGCTACAGAGAAAAGAGCAGAGACCTGGGGATCATGCTGCCTTGCTTTCAAATACTGGCTCCAGGCTTACTGAACTGCGTGACATACTTTCTCTCTGAGCCTCACATTCCTCATTTGTAAAATGAGGGTCATAACACCCAAATTACAGGGTTGTTGTGAAGATTAAATGAAATTCTTTAGGTTAAATGCTTGATATAGAGTAGGCACTCAAGAAATGGTAATCTTCTGTCATAATACAAAGGAGATGGTAAGGGCATTTAAACTACAGGTGGATGAGTCATTTATAATGGAACATATGCCCTGGATAGGTGTGCCTTCTTCAAAGATTGTTCTACCTATATCTTAGAACCCCAATCAGAAACTCAGGCTGATGTTAAACTTCCACAAAATATTCAAACTAAATGTATAAAGTTGGTGTCTTTAAAAAAAAAGTTCCCCAAACCTAGAAACATACACATGCATACATTCTGTTTGTAAAGATGGAATTATTTAAATACCACCACCTTCTGGCATGTTTGGGTTCTATTCTAAGCATGTATTACTATAAGACCTAGGATGAAAAACCTCTTGAATTGAGCAAGAGATCTGATTCTTGTAAGTGACATATGAAGCAGCTTTTATAAAGATAAGAAGCTTTAGCCTATCGTACAGATTCATGAAGAAGCCTTGAAGGGGTTAAAGTGAAAGCCTTACACAAACTTTGCTTCTCAGATTCTCCTATCTCCTCCCTCTCGGGCTCCACACTGCTCAGGCAGAGTGGAGCTGAATCATTACCTTTCCTGCATGCTTTAAACTGTTGCCTGCAAAAGAGGAACTGGGGACTTGACTAATTCAAACTGCTTCCATTCAAGTGTTCCAGACAGCACATACACATCTAAACTGAGACTTCTCTGCTCTTTGGAGGTTATAAGGAGCCAGCATTTGAAACAGCACTCTGAAGCCGTAAGTGGTAACTGGCGTTTTAAGTAACTAATAGAAGATGCTTTTCTGTTTTTCTGGAAAGGGCTGACTTTTTAGGAAGATGAAAGAGAAAGCATACTTTGCATGAACATAGTCCTGCTTTTTTGGCAAAACAAGGCTTTCATTCTATTTTCCAGATATTCCAGAGATGTTCTGAACAAGTTGCCTCTCGGTGCAAGCTCCAGAAGGGATACTTAAATGGCCAATCCCATTCATACTGTAAGGTAAGAGAGATTTGGAAATATTATGATGTTATTCACGGTGAAGTGAGCGGCATTATTTTATTATCGGCAGGTGTGACAAATAGGCACCATCTGCTGCAGAAGATACAGCAGCTCCCTTTTAAGCAAGCTTATTACTTAATGGCTTCAGCTGCTGGGATTGTTTTTTCATAGGCTGAAGTGGAACTAGATACTCTAACAGCTCCAACCTCCCTCAATTTTCTCTCCCTGCTAGACGGAAAAATACAAACGAGATGTGTTAACTCTTGAAAGCGGTTGGGTTGCAATTGATATTTTTGACTTTCTCTCTGAATTGTTCCACTGATCATTTCCTTAGCTATTTGGTGGGATTTCAGCTCTGGAACTACATAGGCAGGTGTCATAAAGAAAAATATAAAATTTTCAGAACTTTATCATGTTAAGGAAAAAGTAAAGGTAACTACTAGAGCACCTCAAGGACCAAAACAGGGATCAAAGTACATTACATTGATTGCTGTATCCGCGGCACTTAGCAGAGTGTCTCGAAGTTGGGTGGCACTCAGTAAAGGTTTGCTGAATAAATGTCGATCTGATTTTGGAGGCCTGTATAGAACTTTGTTGCTCTTACCAGAGACAACTTTCACCCAAGGAATGCCTTTAAGGGTTGATAGATGGAGAAAGCTCCACATTCCCTTCTTATTTTAAGGAGCAAAATTCATGATCTGGGAGTGTATTATTTTGGTCCTGTGAGGTTATGTATACTATGCAAGGTTATGTATACATTAGCAAGGACTTCGCATTTCAGTGTTCATACCAAAAACACAAGAAGTTTTTTGTTAACAAGAGTTTTATTTATCAATTAATGACAAAACATGCAATCAGAAAACCAAAAGTACATTTACATCAATTGTGAGTATTTTGATTTACATAGAAATGAAGTAAACCAGAGGTTCAGGTTAATGTTGGATATTGGCCAATTATTAATCTCTTTTCCTTTCCACAAAACTTTCCTCCCCCTTCCCTTTCTTCCTCCCTTCTCTCCCAATATTTTCCTTCTTCCCTTTCTTCTCTCCCTCTTAGTCACTCATTTCCTTCTACCTCTTATGCCCCACATCCCTCATCCTCTTTGCTCACTTCTCACATTTCTTTCTTTCCTTTCTCCCTCCCTTCCCCCTTCTTCTTTCTCACTTCCTTTCTTTTTCTAACTCCTTACCCCTTTTCGCATTCCTCACTCTCCTCCTTATTCCTCAACAGCTTTCAACCATGTTTAGAAAGACTAGAAACTGATTTTTAATTTATGAGCTTTTCAGAAAGGACTTCAGGATATGAAAATAATTGTATAAATGTCTTTCCACAAAAATTGGATTCCTCAGAATTAATAGAATTTCAGTTACTTTTGAAACCACATGGTGGTTTTTCTTTCCAAATGGTGGAGAGCTTTTAATGTAACAATCTCATTATCTGTGCAACTCATTAATTGGTTAGCAAAGAGAGCTATGGCAATTCTTTTTGGAAAGCATTTATGAGAAGTTGTCACAGATATAGGACCAGAGTAACAAGGAGGATTCCCCAATACCTAACTTTTGTTTATTCATTTCAAAGTCCTTAATGGATTCAGGGAATTAGATTGATAGACCCATCTGAATTGACTAGGGTGTTTGGTGTCCTGTAGACTACAGAGGTTTTAAGACCTATGTAATTCGTTAATTTTCCAAACCCTCAAAGGAAACATTTAAAGAAATTGACAATTGTAGTTGAGATCATTGTTTTCTAAGCTTCTTAGAATTCTAATAAATAGTTAATAAATATTCAGACCTAAGGACGATTCAGGATTGATTGTGTAGGAGGCAGAAAATGTACTATCAATTGTTACTGTAAATCATCTCTAGACACAGTTGGACTTTCTAATATTTAAACTCAAAATTTAACCCATCCCACATAGTTTTCCTTTAAAGTTGTATAACTGAAGCCTGGCCGGTTAGCTCAGTTGGTTAGAATAGGTTGTTATAATACCAAGGTCAAGGGCTCAGATCCCCATACTGGCCAGCCACCCTCCCCCCACCCCCAAAACTAAAGTTGTGTAACTGAAATGCAATTCAAGAGCAAAGTTTCTGAAAAAGTGATTATTCCTTAATTCTAGGTTATAATATGGAATTTAATCTCCTTTGCACAATAAGAGATTAGGGAATGGAGGAGGGGGATAAAGAGAAAAGGGAGATTCAGACTCTTCTCCAAGCTATATTAACAGTCAGATCAGGGATGAGACTATGCTTCTCTACAGACTGTCAGTGCTAAGTGCATTTCTTCAGTCATACTCATGCATTTATTCAATAGTTATTGAGCAGCTACTGCAGGCACAGCTGTATAAGGAATAGAATGTTGAAAAAAACCCTCAAGGAGTTTATAAATTAGAACTTAAGGGAAAACACATCAAATAGCTATCTATAATATTAGGCAAACGTAATTTCCTCTAGGAGACATACAAAGCATCGTGGAAATTAGGATTGGGGTGGGAAATCGAGGTCAGCTTCATGGTAGCGTTTCCCCACACAGAGATATGTGAAGACAGGAGGAACTGTTCAAACAAAAACATGGAAGCAGGGAAGGAGGTAAGAGTGAGCATTACAGTTTGGTTGAAAAGGAGAGTAATGGAAAGAATTAAGGTCAGCAAGGGCCAGGGCATTAACAGCCTTTAATGTCAAGCTAAAGAGAGTGGATTGAAGTCCAAAGGCAATACGGAGCCTGAAAGGCAATATGTAGGCTTCCAAAACTTTATTCCTTTTTCATCCTAAATTAGAATAGTTATAAATAAATTGTATAGTAATAGAATGTAGAGTAAAAGCAGCAAGTTGAAGATTACACATAATCTAGTACCCCTTTTTTTGTAAAGTTCAAAACAAATAAAGCTAATATGTTGTTCAGGCATAGGTGTGTGCATGGGTGTGTGTGTGCACACGTGTGTAAGTGTGCAAATAAAAGTAAGGTAATGATTAATAAAATTCAGGGTACTGGTTTTTTCTGGGAGGGAGTAGGTAGGCGAATGAGACAGGGAGGAACATAAGTAGATGTCATGTAAATTATTAGTTATTCTCAATTTTAAAGTTGGTAGGTGTTTGTTCACAGGTGTTTGCCCATGGGTGTTCATTATATTACTATGTAAGTGAATAAAAGAGGACCCAAATTTACCAATGATGACAATGTGACATAAACCAAGGAGTATGACTTATCCAATTCTGTGTATTTGAGGTCCAAAGGGGAATAAAAACATACTATCATACCACGCAGGTATTTCCTACCTGGCTTGTACTAGCAGTGAGTGTTTACTTTCCCTTCCACTTCTCTTCTGGAAGGCAAGTGAAAAAGTAGATTAGAAGATACATGGGTGAAAAATCCATTAAGCTCATATCTGGGCTGATAGCAAGGAGAAGAGGTGATGAGGAGGGCTGCTCAGAGTGACATCCTATATAAGAAGTACATTTAATACATAAGAGGGCAGCTGAGATCAAAAGACACCTTTATGTGGGCTGCCTGGGACTGTCAGAGTCCTGAATTTGAAGTGCTCTCTTCTGTTTGTAGAGTGGTGTTTCTCAGCCCTGGCTTCATATCAAAACCACCTGTGGAGCTTTTAAGCAATACAGATGTTCATGCCCCACACAGACCTACTGAATGAGAGCCTCTGGAGGAAGGACCCAGGTATATAGTTTTTCAAAAAGCTTAATAAGTAATACTGAAGTACAGCAAGGACTGAAACACATTCCCTGAAGAGTGTGCTTAGAAACTTTTAAGTGTGTGATTTGTTACAAACATAGATTCCAGGGCCCAGAGATTCTGATCTAGGAAGCAAGAGAAAGGGCCTAGGAATATGCATTTTTAATAAGCACCCTTCAGGTGATTCTCATGAAGGGACTTGTCTCAGACCATGCTGAGAAACGTTGTCCCAAAGGTTCCAAAACACTAGGGCCTCGGGGTGATTAGTATGTGTATTCGTTTCCTAGGACTGCCATAACAAAGTTGCACAAACTGGGTGGCTTAAAACAACAGAAATTTATTCTCTCAGGTCTGAAGCCTAGAAGTCTGGAATCAAGGCATTACCAGGGCCACGCACCCTCTGAAATCTGTAGAGTAGAATCCTCCCCTGCCTCATTTAGCCTCTGGTGGTTGCTGGCAAGCCTTGGCATTCCTTGGCTTGTAGATGCACCACTCCAGCTCTGCCTCTGTCTTCTCCGTGTGTCTCTGTCTTCTCCTCTTCTGTAAGGACACAGTCGTTGAATTAGGGCCAACCTAATGACCTCATTTTAACTTGATTACGTTTGCAAAGACCTTATTTCCAAATAAGGTCACATTTACAGTCACCCCACACCAGGGTTAGGACTTCAGTATATCTTTTTGGACAACATAATTCAACCCATAATACTGTTTTAAATAATTTTTTTAAAGTCGGGCCTCCAAACAACCAATAAAACAGATTAGCTATGTTCTTTAGCTGGGCTATCTAGAGAGAAGAAACCAATAGTTAACTCTTAAAGTTTGGCATGCAAAGAATCATTTGACAAGCTTGTGTTTAGAATGTATATTTCTGGGCCTCAATCCCAGCTAATCAAAAATCAAAATAGGTATACCTTTAAGTAGAGCAAAAACGTTTCCGAGATTATTGCTCCAACAATAGTAGAGAGATATCTTCTCTCTTCACTCTTGTTTTTTTATGAACCAGGTGGTACTGCATAGATGGTAGGGGTAATAAGTAGATAGACTAAGAAACATGCAGATTACAGAAAGTATTAGTAACATGAGCTAGGAAATATAAGCTGAAGTGCTCACAGGCTGAGGGCAAAATTCAAGGTGATAGGAAGAGTAATGTGATTGTTGGAGCAATTTCTATTAACTCTCCTTGAGTATGTTAACAAGAGACAGAACTGAGCTGCATTGTCATCAGTCTGCCACTATTGCACATAGAAATGTGACAGGTGATGGTTGTTTATATTGTTTATTTTAGTCACCCATATTCAAAATTTATGTTTGGAATGACAACCTAAATCATTTTGGAAGATGTCAAGGGTAAAGAGTTGACTATATATAATCCTGGAATGTTTTTGCCAATAAAGACAAATTTCCATCTTTACCAACAATGAATGCAATTGTTTGCTCAGAATAACCCTCTAAATTCCTTCTGGTCTACAAATACCAGAAGAAAAAATGTGTATTCTTACCTCACCGACCTAAACAAGAGAGATAGAACAAAAACAAAATTGAGGGAAGACTGCATTTCTAAACATTCCATTATTTGTTAAAGTGACAATTAGCACTGGGACCTGGAGATTAAAGCCAAATCCTTAAATTTGTCTTCTTTGTTTCAGTGCTAGGCTTTTCTAGTTAAGCTACATCAGTGGTTCTCAGTCCTACCTGCACTTTAGTTACGTGGGGAGCTTTTAAAAAATAGCAATGTTTGGGCCCCCATCCCAGACCAATAAAATCTAAATCTTGAGAGTGGCGCCCAGGCCCCTACTGTGGAGATCATGATTCAGAAAGTCTAGGTTGGGGCCCAGGGGTCTGTATATTAATAAGTACCCCAGGTAAATCTAATGATGAATTAGTTTGGAAAACAATGTCCTAATCTAGTCTAGTTATTAGCTAGCTGCTGTTTAATGATCTGAATTTTTCTTTAACCTTTTAATAGCTATTTTCCACATTTAAAAAAAAAAAGGCATTCAAAATTATTGAAACTCAGGACATCACTTTAAAACTAGCTTGCTTGGAGCAAATCATTTCACAATTTATCAGTTCATTTTCATTTCAAATTAAATTGCCATCTGTTTTTCTTAGATAACTGAATCTTTTATTTTTGTTTTTGATTTTCAGGAAAATAAATCTGTTGAAGAATCTTAAGAGCCAAATCTTCTGAGCCTAGGCCTACTGCTGTCAGCATCTCTGACACCTCCGCCATCTGAGAATTACCAGGTCTGACAACACTTTCCCTCGAGCCTACAGTGAGGGACGTCAACAAAGTTGTAGAACACTCACGTCCTCTAGACTTACAACCCTCAAGCTGTGCAGCTGGGCAGGAACCTTATAATCTCCATCCTTAGGGAAGATTCAGAAAGACAGACAAGAGGGGTGAAAACTCAGATATGCTGAGTCTGAAATATACAAAAACCTTTAGAAAGCCTCCTCATAGAAGAACATGATTAAGTCCACATAATTAGTCCACACGTCTAGATGAGCTGTAGGTAAAACAGAGCCTTTTCTCCGTCTACCAGAGTAATAGTCTGATCTAATATTCTAAGAAATTCTTGTCCCTATACCAATATTATAAAGCAGTTTCACCATATTTATTTTTATCAGTATAAGAGTAGGAGTGTAGAAAATAAAGCTTTATTTTTATAGCTTCAGATTGATTAAGAAATTCTGATAAAAGTTGTTGGGGGTGGGGGGTGCTTGCTGTGCTGGAGAACAGAGAAGGTGTGGCAATAGCCAAATTAGAACATCACCATTTTCTTGCTTGTGCACTGCTGACTTAGGTCTGAAAGTGTTGGTTTGTATCAGATTGTTAGAACACCCCCAATATATTCATAGACAGTCTAAGTAACTGTGGAATGCCTCAAGGGCAATAGAAATCCAATAGAAACAGGTACCAACTCAAGTCTTGAGTGATGACGGAGGTGCATTTTAAGTACCATGGAAATCTCACTGGGCGGGCCCATTTTCCCACTCTGGCAACAGAGGTTGACACCACTTCAGATAAGTACTCTAACCTGTACATGTATGTGGGCTTATTCCTGAGCCTCCTGGCCATTCTCCTCATCCTGCTCTTCACAATGCTCCTTCGGCTCAAACATGTCATCTCGCCTATCACCTCTGAGAGCACGGAAAGTGTTCCACAATTCACAGATGTAGAGATGCAGAGTCGAATCCCTACTCCTTAAAGCCAGGATGAAGGTGAGCTTTAGCAGATCTTAGTGAACCTTTGCTGATGTTCAGGAAAGCTTGGTTCACTTTCTTGCACAAAGCTTCCCATGCAAGGAATCAACAAATTGTTCATTTAACAACAAACTGTTCATGTTTTCTTTGTGTTATTCTTCATCTTGACTCTGCTTGTGGGATATCTAAGAGGTTTAAGACTCATTCATCAGAAGGAATATAGGAAATGGCAGCTGGTTGGGACGGCAGGTTTCCATGGTAACCAAATTGAGCCTGGGCCTTGAACAAACCTCAGACCACAGAAATTCATATGCAGCTGTTATAAAAAACGCAGGATCCCTGAAAGCTCCAAAAATAAACAAGGAGAATTTGCCTTCGAAAGGGCTGATTGTTCCAAGAGGGTACCCCAATATGAGGACAAATTTTAATTTAGCACTTCAACTCTAAAGAATCACCTCTACTGACATGAAGCTAAATCATGTCAGAGGTTAATAGAAGGGACCACTAACCCTTTCCCAAGGAAACGATGATTTGATTAGGCCATGGGGTTTGTCCTAAATGAAAGAAGAGGTTTAAAGAAACTGTTTCAGTTTAAAGAGCAAATTTGCAGAAAGAAGTTTCTAGTGAACGAACTCATCTAGAGAGGAAAAATGTGCATATTATATCTGTTATTACTACTACTGGACTTTTTAAAATTCCAATAGTGGCAGATGTATTACAAAAATCTGGAATGATGAGCTGGCCCCAAATCAAGGAAAAATTAAGTCAAAATGTTCTCATGATAATGAAGGCTACATCATACATGCAGCTTCTTTGCCTTTTTCTTCCACCCCATCATGCTCCAGGATTGAGTTGCATATAAATCTGAGCTTTGCTTAAAGGTGGCCTTGGCAAAGAAGACTCAACTGTCCTTTAAAGCAGAAGTGACATGATCTTGGTGTTCTGTTATTGAATGATTGTGGCTTTGGACAAAATATTCAAGACTTCTGGGTTCCAGGTTTTTCTTGTTGAATAGAGAGCTATTTAGTCATCACTAGACTCTTTTTAGATCTGAGTATAGGAAAAATGAAGAGAAGCAAAGGAGGAAAGGACTAAACAGCACCATCCAACAAATCCTTATTGAGATCAATGTCCTCAAATGTCACATTTTTTCTTTTCCAGAAAATGCCCCTCCCTTGCTAATCCCTGCCAAAAAATGAAGTGTTTCACTTATTATCTATAAGAGATATATTTTTAAAAATTCCATTCTCATAAGTAGCCCTAATATGCCTGTAGTGAAAAGAGAATTTGATTTGTAAAATTGACTTTCCAAAGGGGAACCAAAGGAGATAAGTACCGTTTACAAATTAGAAATTAGAAAGCTGGCCATATTCTTGCCACCAAAGAACTAGTACACCTGTGTTAAATGCTACCTGCTTAAAAAAAAAATTAGCTCTCCCTTGCGCCTGAAAGATGGTTATCAAATTTCACAGGATACTCCCTCGGGAACTGCAGTGGTGGTAAGAGAGAAATGGAATGGATGTTAGGTTAATGCTGCCTCCACCAGACATGTAGCTCTCTATAGTCTGTAACCAATTTAGATTGGCCCCTTTACTCTGATCTAAATCTAGCTTGGTGGTGAAACTCCCAAGTGCTTTCCACTTTTATACACAGTCATTTGCCAATGCTCCCCTCTCTAAGGGGCTGCAAAGTGTGAAATCCCCACATGAAGGGCTAAATTTAGCAGCAAGACTGACTCTGACACACCTGTTACAACTGCACTGTCAGAGATGGCAGCTGTATTCTGCACCATTTAGAACAAACTAGCAGATAGGCTACGACTCAGTTAGGGCATACAGTTCCCTTTTGCCTTTATATTTTCCAAAATGCAAAGTGATTCTTACATTACTACCTCTTGGTGGTTTAAGTTGTGTCTTCATTCAACACCCAGACTCCATGGATCCTTTAAAATTTGAGCTCTCAGCAGCCATTCGTGGACTTCATCAAAGGTTGGCTATACACTACAGAACTTCTTAAGGACACACATGTCCCCTCACTCTGGGCTCTCCCTTTTGTGCCCACAGTATTTGAAAGCACTTTTCAGTTGAGAAGTCAGTGGTTGGATAAATGAAGGAACTGATTCCACTTTTCACAGCAAGAGGACCAGTTCCTCATTGCTGAATCTGTTGAAGACACAGACTGAATCAATTCCCTGCCCACCTGACCTCCTTGACCCAAGTTTCAGGAGATTAAAACTGCCTTTTAAGCACCGACTTGGATGAAGATTCCTAATTTATGATCAGGTTACTCACCTAGAAAACAACCACCCTCTTTCATCACTACTACCCCATGGGATCCTGACCTTCACTGAGCATTAATCAAAGCACACAGCACAGATTACACTAAAATAGCTGCGTAACCCCTGACAATTTCCAGTGATAACTAATAAACGGAGACATATTTAAGCGGATGTGCCATTATGATGGCTCACATGGGATTTAATCTTTAGGAAAATAAACTAACTGTTTTCATCATAGCAAACTTACTGTACAGAAAAGAATTTTTCCATTTATGTTAAATGATATCCCCCAATTATTAATTAACATGTATTACTGCTCAAAGAGGCAGCCAAAATATTCAGCAGGTACAATTTGAATTTGCTCTTCTATGCAAATATTGACTTGGCAATTCCCTCCCCCATGCCAATACCCCCAAAATTGCACATTAGCCAGTATATCAACAGGTAAGTTATTTATATATAGATTTACTCTGTTTTAAGACGAAAAGAATGATTCTTCACTTTTTATTATGCTGAACCATATGAAATTGCTATTTTTGTAGATGAAAAATGCACAAATATCAGCAATTTCATATAACTCAATCAATACAAAGACTTTAAATAGTAAACTCTCCTAATACGTTTTAAAATAATTTAATTTCTAAAAAATGTACTTTGCATACATTTTACAATTCTGGGTTGTATAAAAACAAGGTAAAAAGGCTTATGTATTATGTATTATGGATTAGGCAGGAAATATTAAGGTTAATCAAATAAAGATGGATTCATCCAGCCTAACCTTTCCATCCATGCCAAATATGAAGCTTTGGACTCATAACTGAGTTTCACCTCTGCAGATCCCACCATACTTACTAAGTAGGTATAAGGGTCTATTTAATGCATTTAAATGGTTATATTTAGTAATACATTTTATTCACCTGCATTTGTACAAAAGAAGAACTTTTTTTAAACAAAATGAAGAATTGCGTGGAAGAAACAAATTGCGTTTCTTTTGTTTGAAATCATTAATATTTGAAATAGATTTATATTGTATAAGAATAGAAATATAATATTTGCATTAATATTTAGCATGTCATTTTTTATCCCTGGACAATAAATGCCGACTGTTTGGTTTGCCAATAACAAATATCTATTGTTTGAAGAATGTAAAGAGCACGACATTAGTTCCTTCCTCCCAATATAAAGTGTAACAAATGTAAATTTGTGAGATTTATTATTTTGAGGTCTCATTATTTTTTCTTCTTCTCTAACCTCCCAGCTTTTATTCTCTCCCCACATGCTTGCAAACTGATTGATGCATTCGTTTGTTTGTTTAGTAGTAAGATATGAAAAAATGAATGACTCCCAGCTGTCAATGAGGAGAGAGTGAGATAAGGCATCTGAAGTGCCAATAGCCTTCAACATCGCCCCCCGCCCCACCCTGCCCATAGGATTTTTTTTGTGTGTAGCTTCCATGTTTTACTTTCCTCATTTGATCCTCACAGCAACCCAGTGACTAATGAGTGGAGGTATTATGAAGTCCGTTTGACAAAAGAGGACATGGGCACAGAGAGATTCGTGATGCATTCATGGTTACACAGAGGCAGGGTCAATATTACACTGCAAGTCTTAGGATGCCTAGTTTAGTACTCATTCCACCATGCTTTGCTTTCTGAGCATTAAATAGACATTTCAAAGCTATCCATTGCGTAACACTCCAAGTTGTGCAAACAACAATTGAGCTCTAAAGGTGATTAACTCCCTGTGTCCAACAATTCAAAGCAAATAAGCACAGTTTGCAATCTCTTAAAATAGTTTTATTGCCATGGCAAGATGCATGAACAGACTATGGGAAAATTTACACAAAGGCAGACTCTGCAGCTTTAATTTACATGGATAAAGAGAATAGACAGAACTATGGATAGATTATGACCCACAATGCAAATCTCAATTCTCTAATTTGATTTAATGTTCATAGTCAGTGCTGGTTCTTCATAGGCATGATTGTTTTCTCTCCCCTCTTCCCCCTCTCCCAGAAATGAGGACAATTCCTCTTGGGTAAAAATAGTGTTCTTATTTAAAATTGTATAGTGTACACAGCAATTCCATTTGTGATCTATAACAAATGCTATAACATTAAAAGAGAAAAAAATACCAAGTAGTTTCCTCTAATCACAAAAAATAAATTGTTGTACTTATAGAAAAAGGAGACAAAAATAAGGAACATATGTGCAATAGGAAAAGGAAATGCATATAATAAATATATGTGAGAAGATTTTGAAGAATATCAAGCAATTCCAGGTATTCCAATTCATTTTCACATCAAGAATTTATTGATTAAATCATACATATACATGGAGGAGTATAAGAGATTACACAATGTACTGGACTAGGCTCTATAGGGGTCTAAATTTTACAGTCAAAAAGTTTGCAATCTGGCAAATATGATAAATAATAAAATCCATTCATTTATGCATTCATTAAACATTTATTCAGCATACGGTCTATGCCCTGGTGAAGGTTATAGCCTACTGGGATGAACAACACTAGCCAGATAATTGCAAAAATAATGTGTTATAGAGGAGAAGTACAGGGTGCTCGGGTACATATAAAATGGAGAGAAGGCTGCCTAGCCTGGCCTAGAGTGGGAAGACTTTACTAAGGAAGTGATATCTACACTAAAATTTAGTGGATTAGTAAAAGGAGAGAGTAAGGCAAACATTCCATAGAGAGAACAGCATGTGTAATGGTTCTGAAGTCAAATAAACTCTGCATATTTGAAGAAGCAGCACAGTGAGTGAGGGTGAAAAGTCCCCAGAAGGCTGGAAAGGTTGACAGGGACCAGAACATGCAGGACCTTGTGATCAATGCTATAGACTTTTAACTTTTTTATAAGCATAGAGAAGAGAACTCTGGCAGCAATGCAGAGGATGAATTGAAGAGGGGCAAGAGAGGATGTAGGGAGACCAGTTGAGAGGCTATGACTGATTCAAGACAAAGATAATAATGTCTTCAACTTACCACCCATCAAGTGGTACTGGGTAGGGATAAAAAGAAGTGGATAGCTTTGAGATAGATTTAGGCAATAAAATCAGCATTACTTGTTGATGAATTGGCTAAGTGGGGCAAATAAGAAGGAAGAATCTAGAGTGATTTACAAATTTCTGGTTTGAACAATGATCTGGTGGCTCTATTCACTGAGATAGAGAATAATGGAAGAAAATCAGATAAAGAGGAAGGTGAATTCGGTCTGGGATATATTTAGTTTGAAATACTTTGAGCCATCCAAGCACAGATGTTAAATAGGCAGTTGAATATATAACCTCTGGAACTCAGAAGAGAGGTTTGGGCTGGAGACATAAATTTAGCAAGCGTTAATGGATGGGATTGTCCAGAGAGGGGTTGTAGCATAGACTGACAGAAGAATCACAATAACATAACACAGAAAATGCCCAAATATGCTTCTTCCCCATTTTTGGAGGTTTAGTCACTTGTCAAGTAGATTAGGAAAGAAGATTAGGTTTAAGGGTTCTGAAACTTAGGCGGATTGTCCAGAGATCCTTGGGAGCAGGAGAAGTAGAAAGGTGAGTCAGACCCAATATCCTTGGGGGAGAGGTAAGACTTCAAGCTGGGGAGACCAAATATGAACATGAAGTAAAAAAATTAGGAGCAGGACCATAAATAGAAGGGAAATAGAGTTAACAATTAGAAGTCAGAAATTAATGGAGCAGTGTAGGTACAGGTCAGGAAAAGGGTCCTGAGAGATTGCAGTGAGCAAGGGTAAGTTGTCAAACACGGGGATGAGGTTGTATTGATCATGGTCCTGGCAGAAAACAGATAGCATTCTGAAAACGGTGAGTAAAGAAACTTTAATGGAGGGACTATTTACAAAGGGGTAGGTAGAACTCAGAGACCAACAACAGATGACAAAACACCTAGGGATTAGAAGCAGCAGGAGGCTATTACCACTCCCAGGCATGAGGGGAAAGGGAAGGGAACTATGACTGGAATCAGGCATGCCCTGTAGCCATGAGAAAGAAACTATCAGTGGCCTTAGGTAAAGAAGCAGAACCAGTAGGGAGCTGGAGGGTTAAATACCCCAAACACTTCCTCCTCTACCTTCCATTCTGCTGGTGCAGATTGAACCCATGTGGAGGCCAGAGGGCAAGCAAGCCCACATGATGCAGTTTGTAGAGGTCAGCCTCCTAGAGCAAAGAGCAGGGTGGAGAAGGCTTGTGAATGGATATGAAAGAGAAAACAGAGGATGTCCAGCACAGAAGTAAATAGGCAAATTAGGGTGGCTTAAAAATCAGACAAGGTTTACTGAATATGATTTTACCATAAAAGAAAGAAAACATATTACAGATTTTCAGAAGAAGTGTCCAATCAGAAAAAATTCAGAGTCCAATCAGAAAAAAAAAACCAAGACCACACTAGCCATTTCAAATAGAGGGAATTTAATACAAAAAAAAATTGATAATGCATATGACAGAAGACAAATTGGGGATAATGAAGTAACCTAGAAATTAGCAAAGGCAGAAAGTTGCCACTAACCCTAGGGCTTGAAAAACAATGGGAGGAGATGATATTACCAGAGTCTAGAAGCTGGGACCCTCTTTGGTCCCTAGAATCATGGAAGTGTCTGCCCAGTGGGAAATGAGATCATAGAAGGGGCTACCTGGCAGAATCTGGGTCCTCAATAGAAAGAGTGTTTGACAGGAGCTACAACCATGGAGGAGAAAGATTTTGAGCCATTTTTAATAAAGCATGCTGTGATTGATTAATGATGACTTTTATGGTAGAAAAGATCATGGAGGTGTGCCTTCCACATATCTTTCACTATGGACATAGATATATTTCCTTATATTCTATCTGTGTAGCATAGAGATATAAAGTATTAGTTTAAGAGTTGGGGGCAGAATTGCTCTTAGGGAAACTTTTTATCTGGCAAAATACTTTAATAGGATATTTTAATTATGGTAAAATAATCCATAGGGTTTAGCTGGGTTGGGCTATAAGCAAGAAAAAAATGGATAAACTGTGACATAAAAAATGAACAGATTTTGAAGGGTTGTTGGGCATGAATCACAGATGAGAGGTAAAGAATACAAAGTAGAGAGGAGCCTATCAACTTGGCAGGAGGCTAGAGAACAAGAAGAGATAACCGGTGAAGATTCTTCCCTCAGAAGAACAGCAATGGTTAGTGTTCAATATTAAGACTTTTGCTGTGATGTCTAAAATATAAGCCTCCTCCATGCCCCAAACCATCATTAAAGTCTACAACCCACATTACCTGGAGATAGCAGTACTTTGGTAAGTGAAGGGACTCTGATGGTGTCTTGTGGGTAACATGGTGCAAAAAAGGGACTGCACAAACACAGAAGGCAAAACACCAAGCATAATGTTGAATTTAATTAAAGCAGGAACTTTAATCCAAATGTAATAAATGTAAGACTTCCTCCCAACCTTAGATTCTTTGTGTATGTGTGTGTCACAATTATATTTTTTATTTTTACTTGTACATATTTGTGGGATACAGTGTGTTGTTTCAACACATGCATACATTGTACAATGATTCATTCACGTAGGGTAGATAGCATATCCATCACCTAAACATTTATTTTATCTTTGTGGTAATTACATTCAACATTCTCTTTTCTATCTATTTAGAAATATACAATATAATATCATTAGCTGTAGTCAGCCTAAAACACCAGAACATATTCTTCCTATCTACCTGTAAGTTTGTACCCATTAATCCACCACTTCCCTTTCCCCCTACCTGCTTCTCTTCCCTTCCCGGCCTCTGGTAACTATTATTCTACTCTCTACTTCTATGAGGACCACTTTTAAAAAAATTTATTTGTTCCCATTTTTTATTGTGGTAAAATATATTTAAAATAAGGATTGCTATTTTAAGCACTTTTAAATATGCAATTACATGAAATTAATCACATTCACAATGCTGTGTCACCACTACCTCTACCTATTTCCAAAACGTTTTTGTCATCCTACACATAAACTCTGTAGCCATTAAGCAATAACTTCTCATTATTTCTTCCCTCCAGTTTCTAATGTACATCTGTCTCTGAAACTTTTTCTTTTTAATTGATTTTTTCTTAATTGACCCATGATAACTGTGTATTTTTATATTTATGGAGTACAGTATGATGGTTGGATACATTTATATAGTGTGCAATGCTCATGTCAGGGTATATAGC